TTTGTGTCTTGTCTCCATGTCTTTGTATCTTGTCTCCATGTCTTTGTTTCTCGTCTCCATGTCTTTGTGTCTTGTGTCTCATGTCCATGTCTTTGTGTCTCTTCGTGGTATTTAAAGCTGAGCATCAAACCCAGCTGTGGTCGAGTAGATTTTCTGTATTTTTAACGTTTTTTTTCCGTGTGCAGAGTTTAGATTTGACTGAAAGGTTCTGACGTTTCGCTGCAGGAAGTCCGGTGTGGTTCTACATGCAGGTGGCTCCGATCCGGAATGAGAACGATAAGGTGGTTCTGTTCCTCTGCACCTTTAAGGACATCACGCTCTTCAAGCAGCCCATCGAAGACGAAACCACCAAAGGTGAGACAGTCTCCTGCTGCAGCATGATTTCAGACAGACGGGCAGAGAGACAGACAGTAAATCTTCTGTCTTCTCACTTTTTATTGTTAATTCTTGTAGAACCCACAGCAGAACAAATAAAACCAGAACCAGACGTGAGGAGAACTCCCTCTGAAACCCAGTCTGGGCTGAGGCGACAGATTCAGGTTCTTTAAGGGTTAAAACAGGCGAGAAGACGTAAAGCAGGACGAATGCTGCAGTTTAAATGGACCAGTTGGTCTGCTGGTCCAACTGGTTCTGATGGGGTTCTGAAGTCCACTCAGCTCAATGTTTGATCATTGTTGTAGAACTGGGGGTCGGGCCCCAGTCCAACTGTGAGGCCACAGAAACGTTTCCATCAGTTTATATCGGCCTCTTTGTTCAGAAGAAGTTTAAAAATAAACATAAACAAAGATAAGCAGATATTTGTTTTACAGTTTAAAGTTTTAAATTGATTCTTGTTCACTCTATTCATACCATTACTTTTATTTCCTGTATTCTGCACTTCCTGTTCCTGTTTCACTTCCTGTTCATTGGTGTTTAGGTGAAGACGACCACTAGACCTTTCAGAATAAAATCACTTTGAATTGGACCTTTCAGAATGAAAGCCCTTTGGCAGCAGGTCTGGATGGTGCGGTTCTGAATGATGTGCTGCTGCTCTGCTGGTACGTCCCAGTGTCCTTCAGTCCACAGAACTGATGCAGAACCATCCGGGCTGAACCCGGGTCTGCAGGCTCCTAGTGAATCGGCCTGGAGGTCCTGGTCAGGAGGGACCGCTTGGGAGGAAGAGACTCGCGGCTGCAGGCCGGGGATCGTGAGGTTTATTGAGTCTGGTTCTCAGCTTCGTCCCACGGGTCGGCTCCGCTCGACAAAGAGACGACGTCAGCCAGGAGACAGTCCAGAGTCCAGAAGGCAGAGGACAGAGTCAAGAAGACAACGTCCAGAATACAGTGGCCAGTTCTTCATAGACCAAAGTCCATAGTCCTGAGTCTGGAGTCCACAGGCCATAGTCTAAAAGACACAGTCCCGAGACTGGATCCCAGAGTCCATAGTTCCCGTTTGTTTGTCTGTCTGTTAGCAAAATAACTCCTGGACCCTTCAAATAATTTTATTGAAAATATTCACTGAATGTTCATCTACAGCTGGTTAACGTTAGGAGTCAAGCTGATTCAAGATGGCCGCCACAGCTAACCGACATTATCAACCCCAAACAGGACGTAGCTCAGTTTTACACACACTGTGCTGAATGTTGGCGTGGTAGTAGCTGAGAGTCATCCTCAACATGGACTCGATGGGTGATATTTATCAGCTCCGTGGATTTATTTGTCCCCAGAGACGTCAGCGTGTTCAGTAGAACCAACGACGACGACGAGGATTTCAGCAACAGTTTATGTCTTTACTGAATCTTTAATTAAAAAATATTAATGTTTGTTTGTTTTTTGTCAGGATGGACAAAGTTTGCTCGACTCACTCGAGCTCTCACCAACAACCGCAACACCATGCAGCAGCTGGCCCCCATGGGCAAACATGAGGTCAGCCACAAGCAGTCCAGACTGGCTGAGGTGAGACACACAGAGACACAGACAGAGAGAGAGTGAGACAGACAGAAAGACAGAGAGACAGACACCATGTCAACACGGTCAGAACCTTTTCTGACTGAGCCTCAGAACTGGATCCCTGACTCCCATTCTTCCCTGGAACTGGTCCACAGGTTCTGGTTCTCCCTGCCCCTCCTGCCAGACTTCAGGGGTCCTTCATCTGTCACAGGTGGAGAAGGAAGTGGTGTTGGTGCTCTATGAACAGTTCTAGGTGCTGCTGGACTTGAAAGCGTGGGTTTTGTGGTTTCAGAGAAGACCCCTGACGTCATGAAGCGTTTGTCTGGAACTCGTCCCTGTTTGGTGTTGGGGGTGAAAAGGGGGCGTGGCTTTGTGGTTCAAACATGAATAAGGGGCGGGGAGAGATGGGAAAGAAGGGAAAACAATCAGCAAGAGAGGAGAGAACAAAGGACAGAGAGGAGACATGAAGGAGGAGCAAGCAGACGGTCTGGAAGGAAACCAGTACGAGGAGGAACCTGCAGGAGAACAGAGAACGTCTCTGTCTTCTCTGAGCGGGCGCAGTTGGTTCTGCAGGAGAACCTTCTGCAGAGCCGAGCCGACGTGTAATCAGTCTTTTTATGACCTTTATCAGAGGGCTGCTGGTGGTCAGGAGCTGCTTGATTGACAGCTGTAACGAGGAGCTGCTTGATTGACAGCTGTAATGAGGAGCTGCTTGATTGACAGCTGTAATGAGTGTTATAAAGCTCTATTTACTTCAGACTGTGTCCCACTGAGACGGGAAGTGGAGCTCGGTGAGACGCCACCTCAGCATGTCCTCGGCAGGGGCGGAGATTCTTATTTCTGCCTCTGTCAGGAAGGTACTACAGTTCATCCGTTTCCTCCTCAGATGAACTGAACTGTCTTCATGTGATGGACGCTGTCCTGACCTGGTCCAGAACAAAAGATGAAGACACAACGCAGCGTTGAAGACAGAAAATATGTTTTTATTATGGAAATACACAAAATAAAGAAGAAAGACATGATCATGTTCACCTGGTGCAGAGACCAAACCACACCCACAATGTCAGGACAACAGGTGAGGAGGGTGAGGTTTTTATCCTCTGGCACTTTTCTGCTCCCTCTGGAGGGTTTATGGTCCCTCTGGATATTTTCCAGTCCCTCTGGATGGTTTTCTGCTCCCTCTGGAGGGTTTATGGTCCCTCTGGATATTTTCCGGTCCCTCTGGATGGTTTTCTGGTGCCTCTGGAGGGGTTTGTTGTCCCTCTGGAGGGTTTATACTCCCTCTGGAGGGTTTATGGTCCCTCTGGAGGGGTTTATGGTCCCTCTGGATAGTCTTCCGGTCCCTCTGGAGGGTTTTCCGGTCCCTCTGGAGAGTTTTCCGGTCCCTCTGAAGGGTTTTCTGGTCCCTGTGGATGATTTTCCAGTCCCTCTGGAGGGTGTTCCTGTCCCTCTGGATGGTTTTCTGGTGCCTCTGGAGGGGTTTATTGTCCCTCTAGAGGGGTGTATTGTCCCTCTGGAGGGTTTATGCTCCCTCTGGAGGACTCTATGGTCCCTCTGGAGGGTCTGGAGGGCTCTATGGTCCCTCTGGAGGGTTTATGGGACCTATGTAGGGTCCCACAGACTGAAGAAGTCTTTCAGATGAAAGACGAAACGTTTCTACATTTTTTTTTTTTTTTAATGTCCAGAGGACCTGACTTAACTTTTTTAGAGGTCCCTCTGTAGCGTTTTCGGATCCATCTGGAGGGTTTGTGGTCCCTCTGGAAGGTTTTCCGGTTCCCCTGGAACATTATCCAGTCCCTCTGGAGGGTTTACTGATCTCTCTGGGTGGTTTTCTGGTCCCTCTGGAGGTTTTTTGGTCCCTCCGGAGGGGTTTATGGTCCCTCTGGAGGGTTTATTGTCCCTCTGGAGTTGGTTTTTTTTTGGTCCCTCTGTAGGGTTTTCCAATACATTTGGAGGGTTTATGGTCCCTATGGAGTTTTTTTTGTCCATCTGGGGTGGTTTATGGTCCCCCTGGAAGGTTTTCCGTCACCCTGGAGGGTTTTCCTGTTCCTCTGGATGGTTTATGGTCCATGTGGAGGGTTTATGGTCCCTCTGGATGTTGTTTGATCCCTCTGGATGGTTTCCGGTCCCTCTGGAGGATCTGTTTTCAGTTTTGTTCATCAGAAGGTGACCACAGTGTGTTGTTTTAATGCAACTCATCTAGAAGTGCTGGGTGACAGTTTTTCTCCTTTGTGGTCTCAGGTTCTGCAGCTAAACTCCGACATCCTCCCCCAGTACAAGCAGGAAGCTCCCAAGACCCCCCCTCACATCATCCTTCACTACTGCACCTTCAAGACCACCTGGGACTGGGTGATCCTCATCCTGACCTTCTACACGGCCATCATGGTGCCCTACAATGTCTCCTTCAAGACCAAGCAGAACAACATCGTTTGGCTGGTGCTGGACAGCGTGGTGGACGTCATCTTCCTGGTGGACATCGTCCTCAACTTCCACACCACCTTCGTGGGTCCAGGCGGAGAAGTGATCTCTGATCCCAAACTGATCCGTATGAACTACCTGAAGACCTGGTTCGTCATTGACCTGCTGTCCTGTCTGCCGTATGACATCATCAACGCTTTCGAGAATGTGGACGAGGTACGGGGGGGGGGGGTGCCCAAATGTTCGTCTCTGCTGAGACGATCAGAGAAAACTGATCCCAGAGGACCCTGTTGGTTTGGAACAGGAGCCTCAAGCACCATGTTAAATTAGCTGAAACTGAGCTGGAAGCTAAAAGTAGCAAGGAGCTAAAAGCTAAACTGGGTGACGGCGCTGAGGTCTGAGTTGCAGGTCCAGTCAGGACTCGGTGGATGTCTATGGGGACATGTTTTACAGTTTTTAGTGGATTTTATCTTTGTGGTTGGAAGCTCTGTATGAAGATAAATCAGTCTCTAAAGTAGCCACACCAGACAACGAGATTTGTACTCAAACAAAAGATTCTTGTCCATACCACAAGTTTCACAGTTTCAAACGTGTGCATTTCAATTTGCACAAGTAGGAATATTCTGAGCACATCAGCAGTCCACAAAATTAACATCTTCTTGTGGAAAAACTTCAGGAAAACAAACATTTTCCAGTATTTTTATCAGAGGAAGAAAAGACCAGGATATGTATTTTAAGTTTATTCTTTAATACAGAGGTTACGAGTTTCTGTGACTAGAAATGAGTATTTTCTCAATAAGTCTGGTAAAACTCAGATGTCCCAGCTTTTCTTTAGCCTTGAATGCAGCATGACCTTTGTAAATCTGGAGTGGTGAGAAAGTCTCATAAGTCTTATTACAGGTTTCACAGGCAGCTGCTCCGTGCGCAGCAGGTGATTTGTGCACGTGTAGAATATCCCTACTTGTGTAAATTGGAATGTGCACATTTAAAATTTGTCGATGCATTTGTTTCATCTTGTGGTACGCTTGTGTGACTTCTTTTGAGACTGATTTATCTCCATAGCTGTTTGGTTTCTGGACTTTACCAGGTAGATGAATCTAACAAGGTTAAGTCAGGTCCTCTGGACGGATTCTTCTTTGTTGAAACGTTTAGTCTTTTATTCAAAAGACTTCTTCAGTGTGAGGAGCTGCAATGATCTCAGTCTTATAAATAACATCTTCTCATAGTGGATCAACCAGTTTGTTGGTGACATCCAGAACTAGCTGTTCACATGTAAAAAGGAGGACCATCATAATTAATCGTTAGTGCCCTGATAGCTATGGAGGACGGAATATGACAATGGAATAAATAAATACATAATAATGAAATGTATCATTTAAATGTTAAATACCTAATTAAATCATTAAATACACAATTAAATTATTAAATATGCACTTAAATTATCTATTTCATGATTTATTTATTTTACTTTGTCACATTCCATCCTGCATAAATGGCCACTTGCTATTCACAGAGGGTTGAGTGCAATAACAGCATTGTAAGAGGGGGACAGTTGAACACGGAGGCTCCGCCCCCTGTTTAACCATGGACGGGTTCTTTTCACAAAGATGGCCTCCTTCACGCCTCTCTCAAACTGACGTTCCTCTCTATTAACTGAAAACATCAACTGAAGGAATCAGAAAAAGTTCTGGGGCCGTCAGAACCCGTCCTGCAGGTCTGGATGAGTGCCAAACCACGAGTTCTGATCTGCGTCGCCATTTTCTTTTGCATCAAGTCGAGGTCGAATTAGGAGAAAACTCTGAACGCGTCTTGCTGCAGGATTTCTGCCTCCGCTGTTGTTTCCTCGGCTTATTTCTGACCCAACATCTCTGAGTTCTGAGTGTCTTCGTTGCCTTTAAGTAAATATTTCACCTCTTTTTTTAATAAAACAACCAGCTGAGCTCATCAACATTAAAGGAGCATTATGAGGGAAAAGCAATTAGCTGCAAAAACACAGGTAAAAACATTATGACCTCTTTCTTAATAAAGTTTTTAAGTAGAGAAACCAAACACAGCAGTTTGAACATTGACTGAACGGTTTTACACACACACACACACACACACACACACACACACACACACACACACA